TGAACTATGAAAAAAGCATGATCTTAACTCGAGTTAAACAATGCAAGATGAAATCCAAGTGAATACAAGGCAGAATGTAGTTTTGATACAAGTTCACTGGTCGAGTTCAAGGCTCCCTGATAGCAGGTTGAATTCAACCTGCTAACTCACACGAAAATTACTAACTGCCTTGTCTTCACTTGGATTTCATCCCACATTAGTTAACTGGAGCGGAGAACACACCTTTTTTCATAGTTAAGACACAGCTTCAGTGTCCTAACAAGTTACAATTAGGTATCACGTTCTGCCAAAATAAATACTACATTTATACAATTGACCACAGTTAAATATTGCCAAATATTCCAGCAAGAATTACCTGATGTACATGGCGGCCTATCTTTGTGATTATATCACAGTGACATTCTTCCATTTTTCAGAACTTCATTGTGTTGCCTAGTTTTCTGAGTTAAAATAACTCAGTTAACTAACTTTTTATTTTGTAATAAAGGCACAAGTAGCTACGGTTATGCCTACAAGGGACCATAAAGTCTTATTCTTTTTGTGACTGTTGTTTGTGTTCTTTTAAAAAAAACAAAAAACAAAATTTAAAATATTTGACTATTTTTGACATTTGATCAATATTTCACCAGTTAATTGACCAATTATTTTTGCACCAGTCAAATGCTCAACCCTGCAGACTCTCCTGAAGTTTCACCTGGATAAGACATATTCAACTTATTATCTTGCCATATTTCATTTCACAGGGGCTACATTTTCAGGATGGGTGAAACAGTCCCCCATCTACCTCATTTGAGATCTTCGGATGAAGCATGGTCTGTGAAAAACCAGTTGTTATCTCTACGTTTCTTTATGGAAACTAAGAATTTAAATAAAAGAACATCACACTGAAGTGTTCAGAAAGTTGCACATGGGGAAGCCAAGATGTTTGGTGGATCCTGTGCCTACAACAGGAAATCGGGAGTTATTATTCCTTTATCAGCTATTCATTTGAAGATGTGATATTTTATACTTAGAGCCCTACCAAATTCATGGACCGTGAAATCTGATCTCCCCCCGTGAAATCTAGTCTTTTGTGTGCTTTTACCTTGTACTATACAGATTTCATGGGGGAGACCAGCATTTCTCAAATTGGGGGTCCTGACCCAAAAAGGAGTTGCGGGAAGGGGGGGGGTCACAAGTTCTTTTAGGAGGGTCACTGGAGAGTGGTGGCTGCTGACTGAGGGCCCAGCTCCACAGGCAGCAGCGCAGAAGTAAAGGTGGCAATACCATACCATGCCATCCTTACATCTGCACTGCTACTGCTGCTGGTGTCGTCTCTGCCTTCAGAGCTGGGCTCCCAGCCAGCAGTCACTGCTCTCCAGCTGCCCAGCTCCAAGGCAGTGCCGCCACCAGCTGCTGCACAGAAGTAAGCGTAGCAGTAGCACATACATACACCCTGCAATAACCCTGTGGACCACCCCCCACACCTCCTTTTTGGGGTCAGGAACCCTACAACTACAACACCATGAAATTTCAGATCTAAATAGCTGAAATCATGAAATTTACTATTTTAAAAATAGTACTGTGAAATTGACCAAAATGGACTGTGAATTTGGTAGGGTCCTATTTATACAGCAATGCCACACAGGAACAGACTTATTTATTCAACAAGTGGTCATTCAAAAGGTCCACTAGTCATGTCATTCACCTTTTAATGAGCTGTATGTTTATTTTACACTCCCTCACTCAGCAGATACTAGTTCAGAAGAATTTTTACCTTATCAACAGAAATAACAATCAACAAGCAGTAAATATATTCCTTTGGTAGGAATTAAATTGTACTCACAAAAAAAAAGTCCTCCTCTCACACACACACACAAATATATAGTTTACAGAAATTATAGTTAAGACCCTGATCCTGCGCAAACTCTCATGATCAACTTTATGCACATATATAGACCCCATTCAAGTCAAGGCGGTCACAGATGTGCTTAAAACTAAGCACGTGCATTGTATTTGCAGAATTTCTGACTTCAGTGTGGGTCTGTCCAGATGGAACCTCTTGTAGGACTGGGTCTTAATTTGCTTCTATAACATTTATAACAGTGGGCATCTGACTTGAATGTGAACTTCTGTGTAAGTAACCATTCAATTTACTTTACATGCACTAGGATCTGTGCCTCACTGAAAAACTTAACTGAAAACACAGTGAATATATACACACACAATATATTTGTGTTCTGACCATTTCAGCTTACTCCATCTGTGAGTAGGATTTAACAATGCTCTCTACCATCACATCTATCTGAGTGGTAATGATTACAAAGTCACAAGTAAAGTTTTACAATACTTAGCACTTTATAATGCCTTATAACTTCAAACCAATGTACGAAACATCAATCATTGGAAGAAAAACTAAAAGCGGATTTGTAAACGTTTTCTTTCAGAAAAAAATTAACTGTTTTTAATGGGGGGGGGGACCTTGAGCAGCAAATAAATGCTGATCAAAATTATTAGACCTATTACTCTCAATGAAGCAGGGAAACATTTACATGAACAAAATCAACCGTAAACCCCTGTATATTCTAAAATTACGAACCCAAGTCCCAACTACTCTTACATGTTTAAATTGTATTTCCTTCCCCTCCCCCTTCCCTTATGGAGTGAATGCTTAATATTTGCCAGGTGTTCAGAATACTATTTTGGGAGACCTGCCACAAAGTTTCCAAGATATAATCCCATATGAACCACATGGTCATGGAGACAAGCCTGCACTTCCCTAACAAAATTTAAGAGACCATGACAGTGTAGTCTCAGGTGATCTGTGATTACTAATAAAATACAGTGCTATTTCATTAGATCTTAACCAAAAGAAAAAATTAATCACTTTGGGAAACCATAGAATGTTTATTATTTACATAACACCGACAGCATACTAAACAGATTTACCTTGACAGTAAAGCTTTTTATAAATCTCAAGCTCTAATCCTTCAAACACCTAAACACACGCTTAACTTTAAGCTCATGAATAGTCTCATTAAAACCAATGGGACTACTCATGTGGTTGAAGTTAAGCACCTGCATAAGTGTTTCCAGGATCCAAGCCTTAATAAGTTTGAACTGTATACTGAAAAGATGAATATGGAGATGTCCAAACCAAGGCCAGACATCTGAGCTTTTGCAAAGTTCACTACACAATCAAGGCCCAAAACTTGGACAGCCCTAAAACTTCAGGCATTATTCAAAATCCAAACCTGAATTCTGCCAGTAGCACCTCTCTACGTAGGCTCTACCTAAAGCCCAAGGTCAGTATCCAGAGAGCGTGGCCCATCTATAATAAAGACCCCTCCCTTGTTAATATGCTTTGTGATGTTTTCAAATGTCTATTTTATATACTAGATCAGTAAAGTATCAGCAATCAGGCTCAGCTAATTTTTATGTGACAAGACTGAATTTTCCAGATCATGACTCTTTACCTCCCATGCTTTAACATCAAAGAATGAGTATATTTTGTGATTGCTTCCATAAATCAGTTAAGTCTTGATTTATACAGACAGCAAAATGAGGATGTTGGGTTCATCTGATAGTAAAAACTCTATGAGCAAACTTCACTCTGAAATCCTACACAGCAACCTACAGATGAAACTTTATCTTGAAAACTCAACATGCAATCTCAAGCAACAAGACTCTGCCATTAAGCACAACTAAGGCGCTCTCTCCCTCTCTCTCAAAAGAGACTTTTATCTTATAAAATTTTCCTTAAAAGGGAATTTGGTGATGAAAATTGAACTCACCTGGAACAACTTCAATGTACAATTTAACCCCATTAAATGGTATAATGAACTACATGTTTTGTATTTACAATGGATAAATATATTCAATTAACAGCACAGAAAAATATATAACTTAGGCATAAAGGTCTTTTTAAAAATATAGAATGCACAGAACAAGATTGGCTGCTTCATTTTGGATATTTAATACTATTAAGTTAAAAAAAACAACAAAAACCACACAGCCCATTAACGGGTATAAAGGCTTATTTCCACAACTAGGGCCCATGTTTTGTCTTTTACATGTGGCCCTTATCCTGTAAAAGAAGATGTGATCATGTTCCACCCAGAACTTAACAGGAAACTGATCAACAATAACTTTGGCACTTTACACTTTTAAAAAAAAAATTACATATACAGATATTTTCTTCTCTTAAATCCAGGGCTACATCTCCAGGGGAGTTAAAAAGGAAACACACCCCTCTAAGCTACAAATGAAAACAACATACACAGTTGAAAAGAAAGGAAATTTTAAAAAAAAAATCACACAGAGGAAAGTGTGGACACAGATTCCCCTCCCCCACTCCAGCATGAGTTCAGACACAAGCACATTTCTCCCCAAGCTTTTCTTAACATTATACATTGCAGACACAAACCATAAACCGACTGCAAAATAAATACAGACCTCAGGTCACACTTTGGGGTGGTCTTCCCCCCTCCCTCCCGGTTTTTGTAGTAAATATGCACGAAGGGGGGGGGGTTCTTCTTCTTTACAAAAATCAGGCTAAAAATAGGCTATAAACCAGCCTGCCTCATGATGGCTCCTTGATTCAATTTGCTGCAAATTCTTTTTTCCCCTTAAAGCCTTTAAAATAAAATCCAAAGGGGGGGGAGGGGAGGGGAGAAATAAGAAAAGGGCAAGAAAGCCCTTCCCCCTCCAGCTTTAAAAAGAGGTGCCATTTACCATTAAAACCACCAGCTCCCCCAAATACATTATTTTTTTTTAAAAAAGGGACCCAAGTTGAAAAATAAAGACATGTTACACTTGGGCCCATCCCCCACCCCAACTAGCACAGACCAACACAGCTCCCTCCCCCCAGCCCTGATCACTTCCCCCAAGCCCTCCCAGCCTTCCCCCAAAGAAGCTCCATAATAACCCCCCCTTGGAGGCACTGGATCCAGCCCAGGAGAGGTAAATGCTGCTGCAAAACACACACACACACACACACACACAACACCCCAAGTCCTTACCTTGCAGTTGATGGCTGAGTGGCTGCTTTTGCCCTCCCCCCTTTTCCTTTGCAATGGAGGCAAAAGAAATGCACCCTGGGTTTCCTCCTCTTTATACAGCTAGAGACACATACAAGCTCCCTCTCAGCTGAGGTGCCCACTCCAAGCCAAAAAAAAAAAAGAACACAAAATAGAAAAGGGGGGGGAATAAATAGCCACCAAACAGTGCTGTGATATTCAATTAGATCCCAAGCCAGAGCGAGGGGGGGGGAAGGGGTGGGGGAAGAGAGGGGGGGAGGGCTGAGAGATTAAGTCCCGAGGAAGGGGGGAGGGAAGTAATATCTCTGTGTGTGTGTGTGTGTGTGTGCGTGTGTGATTTAGATTGAAGAGGAATTGAGGCAGAATGTAAAAGCTGTTACTAAGGGAAGGAGCCAAACGGTTCAGAGCAGCCAACGGCTCTCAGACACTCAGCGCTGGGGGAGCGCGCGGTGGCCAGCCGCACGGAAATGAGAGCGGCGGGGAAGGAGGAGAGAAGCAGGCCGGGCGGCTGCAACAGCCCAACCAGTCTCCAGCCCAGCCCTCCCTGTTGGGGGGCCTGGGGGGGAGGGGAGACCCTCCCCTTTTCACACACCCTCCCCCAAGCAGGCTGCCCAAGGCCCTATTGCCATTTTAGGATTCGACGTGTGCAAGCCACCGGGCGGGGGCGAGTGGGGTTCCCGGACAGGGGGGAGAGACACCCGCCTCCCCCCATGCTTTCCCTGTTTAGGGTGACCAGATGTCCCGATTTTATAGGGACAGTCCCGATTTTTGGGTCTTTTTCTTATATTAGATCCTATTACCCCCCACCCCCGTCCCGATTTTTCACACTTGCTGTCTGGTCACCCTATCCCTGTTACACCCATTCCCAGCACCTTGCAGCAAGCTGCACGAGGCCATGTGGCCAGGCGGGGCTCCTGTATTATGATGCATTATGCACCCCACCTGCTAAGCAAGCAGGCGTGGGGGACCCCGAGGGCCAGTAGGGTGAGGGACGACCCTCCTTCTTCACGCCCTCTCCCAACCTGTTCCATAAGGCAATATTGCCAGGCACTGTTTATTATTAAGAATATACAAACTGCCGGCAAAGCAAACAGCGGGGTGAGGGCAGGGGTCCAATACAGTGAAGGGAGACCTCCCCCCCACTTCACAAACACACACACACCTTGCAGCCAGCTGTATCGGGCAGTATTGCCCGGGATTGTTTGATTATTAAGAACACGCAAAGCAAGCAGGGGGAAGCATTCAGGGAGAGACCCTCCCCTGCCTCGAGGAACACACACTCCCATGGCCTGGCAACACGTTACACAAGCCACGCTGCCAGGTGGTGGTGTCTTGTTATGAATGATGTACAAGCCAGCAGCCGCCAGAAAAGCAAGCAAGGAGGAGTGGGGGTGGACGCTGAGGTTCCAGTCCGGAAAGAGAGACATTCCCTATAGACCAGGCACATGCACCCAGGCAGCCACGAAACAGCCTGCACAGGGCAATAGTGCTGGGTAATGCGGTTTTATTGTTAATCATATTTTAAGCACCTCCGGAATACGTTTCATGTCCGATGCACTTACATAACATTAGCATCTAGCGTGTATATAATGCCTTATTGTTTTAAACGCTTTTTTTTATTACTAACAATGGCATTTGGGCCCCGATCCTACAATTGGTTCTGAATGGGCTGAGTCCAGGGTTCCACCCATGCTCAGGGGAGCACCTGCCTGGATCCAATTGCATCAGGGTACAGCTTCGTTGTAATATAAAATGCCTTATTGATGATAATATCTAGCCCCACGCGTGCTGTTTGTTTTAGGATGCTTTAATACTAGTTAGCATTTATATCGCATGGGTTTTTTAACGTAAGCTTCATTAATGTGATTCACATTCATCGCTGCACAGTGCTTTGCGTTTTAAAGCACTTTGTGGATCACACTCACAGGCCCTGATCCTGCAGTCAAATCTGCGTGTGCGGAAGCTTGAGCCTACACAAAGCCCTACTCCCTACAAACCTCACGTGGAGCAGACTGCAGGATCAGGGGCCGGGGTGAAATTCATACTGCTGGGGAGGGTATTCATGAGGACCTCTGCACCACCCAACCCTGTGATGAGGGTGCATGGCAGGGGCTCCATATCGATGTGCTCCATGGAGGGATTCTTTGTGCCAAGTCCGTAAAGTGAGGTGTGTTCAGCCCAGTAGATGGGACACAGTAGTCCTATCATCACAGATAAGTGGTATGGATGGACTCAGTTGCTTTTCCAGCCCACAGGCTAACGTAGCAGACTTGGGGAACTGCACTGTAGGTCCAACCTTGCCCCACAACAGGGGCGGACTTTGCCTTCATCCTAATTCCTAGGGCAGGGATCGGCAACCTTTGGCACCCGGCTCGCCAGGGTAAGCACCAAGGTAAGCACCCTGGCAAGCCGGGCCGGTTTGTTTACCTGCCGTGTCTGCAGGTTCGGCCGACCGCGGCTCCCACTGGTCGCGGTTTGCCGCTCCAGGCCAATGGGGGCTGCAGGAAGCAGTGGCCAGCACATCCCTCATCCTGCGCCGCTACCCGCAACCCCGTGATCGTCCGAACCTGCCAACGCGGAAGGTAAACAAACCAACCTGGCCCGCCAGGGTGCTTACCGCATGCCAAAGGTTGTCAATCCCTGTCCTAGGGCTTGATGTAGGATCCCACTAGCTGAGCCATACAGGTGGACCTTTGCACCCCCACTGGGCTCCACCTGGACACAAGGATGACCCTGCACCATTCAGCTGTGGAGGTTGAGGGCCCTGGTCCTTGTCTTTGTTAAATGTTTTGTTGTTATTATTAATAAATATTTAGCCCCTATGGACGAGAGCACTTTCTCTTTTCAAGTTATTTAATTCTTGGACCAAAATAACTCAAGGCTATCAGCCTTTAAGGCATGCTGCAGAGTCCACCTGTTTGTCTGGGACTTTGAAGACAGCTGAGTCATATACAGGGGTTGAGGACTCTACAGAAGGTGAGTTGTATATTCTTAGGTAAAAGCCAGGTGATTTGGGGGTTTAGATTGGTACTGGATGGTTATATTTTTAAACATTGATTTTTAATTTTGAAAATTGTCAAGGAGCCTAGAACAAGTAGATGTGTGTTGGTGTGTGTATATATAAATATAATAATTTATAGAATTTGTACAGTGCTTTTTAGTACATAATGCTTTAATAAGCATTATTAATAATCTTAGCACTTAAATAATTTTAAAATAAAAAAATATGTAATGAAGCCCCAGTCATACCAACCTTTAAACAGTTGCTTAACTACAACCATGTGAGTAGTCCTAATGGAATCAATAGGGCGAGGCACATGCTTAAATGTTTGCAGGGCAGCATTTGGTTTTGACTTGTAAAGCCCTAAATAATTTGGGACCTGGCTTCTTGAGAGACCACCTCTTTCCTTCTTTGATTCCACAACCATGCTGTGCAGCAGGGGAACCTGTAGTTCAGGGGTTCTCAAACTGGGGGTTGGGACCCCTCAGAGGGTCACAAGGGTATTATTTGGGGGGGGTCACGCGCTGTCAGTCTCCACCCCTAATCCTGCTTTGCCTCCAGCATTTATAATGGTGTTAAATATATAAAAAGTGTTTTTAATTTATAAGGTGGGTTGCACTCAGAGACTTCCTATGTGAAAGGGGTCACCAGTACAAAAGTTTGAGAACTACTGCTGTAGATCAATAGGACTGGGGTATATGGAACTGTACTTTCTGTTATGAGCCTATGAGTTTGGAATGCTCTTGCCCCTGCATAAAGCTGAACTCAGGTTGCCAGGAAAGGCTGTGTTGAGAGATAGGGGGTAACTGGACAGTGAAGAGTATTTACGGTGGGTTGTTAAATGAGTAATCTGTGTTTAGGGTTTATGGAGTTGGGTTATATGGAGAACCCGGAGAGTCACATTTAATTAAATAATAATCTTTAGCACTATTATTTTTCCAAGCCCTCTCATGCTAATAGACAGAGGACCAAACCACAAAGGTTCCATCAGGAACCAGATCCAAAATCCCATACAGTTTGGGTCCATAGTTCAAGCACATCTCTGAACAACAATACACTTTTCATTTTTGAGCACTTTAGTGTAGCGTTGTGCATCATTTTCAGTCTCTCTCCAGCTACAGTAGAACCTCAATTTTACAAACACCAATCTTATGAATGACCAGTTATACAAACTATTTTTCCTGACAGAAAACAAATCACATAACAAAAGTGATGGTGATGAAGAACAAGTCAACATCCCTTCACATTCCGATACCGTCAACACATTGGAAATGGCTTTACTGGGGTTTGAAGGACAAAAAGAAAACTCTGCAGAGCACTATACTGCAATACCGTAGAACCTCAGAGTTACAGACACCTTGGGAATTGAGGTTGTCCATAACTCTGAAGAAATAGTTATTATGGACGTCAGCCACACAGGGGGTTGGGGCTGCAGTTGGGGATGGGGGAGGACAAAGGAGTTGAGGCTTCTGACCTTTGGGGCTCCAGACAGGGGACTCAGGGCTTCTGCCTGGCAGGAGCATTGGGGCTCAGTGCTTTAGAGATGGGGGGGGGGGAGCACTGGGGCTTGCATCTTCAGCCCCACTGCTCTGTTCCTGGCATCAGCCCTGCGGGGGGCACTGGAATTTGGGGATCTCCACGGCTCCACTCCTGGCTTCAGCAGGGGGGAGAGGGTCAGGGCTCAAGCTAGAGACGGGAGTGCTGGGACTGAAACCAGCACTTCCCTTGTAGCTAAGGCCCTGAGCCCCATCATCCCCTGCAGGGAACAGAGCCACAGGGCTGAAGCCCTAAAGCTCCGCCTCGATCTAAAGCCCTGAGGCCCTGTGCTCCTGAGGGTCAGAAGCTCTGACCTCTGCCTGGAGCCTTGACAGCCCCATACCCTGTGGCTGCTGTCCCAACCCTCCCCCATCCCTATGGATAAAGCGCAAAGGCAGTACAGTATTTGCCTTTTTTTCTTCACCTCCCCTTGTGTCTGTGCTGCTGCCTGATTGAGGACTTCCAGTTTCACATCGTGTCTGGTTGACCGGTAAGTCCATAATGCTGGTGTTCGTATCTTTGAGGTTCTACTGTATATGTTTTGTACCTACTGTAATTTTGAGATTTATTAATTCCTTAATCCCCAAATTGGGGTTCTACTGTATAGGAAAATGTTCTCCCTTCGGTATCTGTCTGTAGTCTCACTGCAGTTGCTGCTGGAACTATGAATGGTGGTGAGTACCGTGTCCTGTAGCAAGTGCTAGCAGTATCAGGCACTGTATTTGTACAGTACCAAGCACACGGTCAGTGCTCCATAAATAATAATACTTGGCATTCATGTAGTGGTTTCCATTTTCAAAGCACTTCAGTCAGAATCCTGGTTACTTACATGGCATTTGACATCTTTACACAAATTAATTAACCCTCCCAGTGCCCTGTGAGACAGGTAAGCATTGCAGTAACAACAAGATTAATAATTAA